AGAAGCCATTTTATTAACGGTGTATCCCCTTAGCTCCTGGGTCCCACCACCTTATTTTAGCACACGGCCTGAGTGCATGGTTAAGCTTCAACTTTAATCAGGGATCACCAACGTAGGACATGTTTTAGACGAATGTCAGTGTCTAATCATCTAGTTCTGGGGAGGTTCACACCTGCCCTCAAGAGCACAGGGGCAGGGGGTAAGGAATCCCATCCTCCACCAGGCCCAAGAAGACATCAGGCCTGACCGCAAAGGATAAATAAATGTGCAGCTCAGGGGTCATCAGCCCACAAATCAAACAGCGCCCAACGATCTGGATAAAGCGCACGCGTTAATTCCCAGCCTTACCTCCCTACCCAACGCTTACCAAAAGCAGAGAAATCCAAGGAGCTCGTACACCGCCTCGACCTGCGGCCAAGCTGCTGACACTCCGAGTTCTTCCCAAATCGCCAAAGCCTTGAGCAACGTCAAAGACTCCTGTTTCTCTCCCGCACCGCCAGAAAAAGAGTCCAACTTTTTGTGCTTAGGACCCTGCTGGACTATTGCAGATCACGTGTACCACTGAAGCAACAACACAACAATGGTTTCATAGGAGAGTCCCTTTTTCTCCAGGATCTTAAAGCCTTTACATACGTTGAGCACACATCTGCTCGCTGTAACTGAGGCAACACCAGACTGCGGTCAGCAGCGATTCAAGCAGCGGTTTACAAAGTAAAAAGGGTCCTACCAGAGCTCTCAATAACTATTTTGAAAACCTTGGGTTTCAGCTGGAACAACTTCAGCTCAATCCACCCTGTCTGGGTGGCACCTGCAAGAGAGACGAGCCCAGCACGCGTAGCAAACCCCGCCTCTGCCAACGTCCGCCTGTTCCAACTGCCACTGAACAACGGAACGGGCGACACCGAGCCAGCTCCGGCTGCGGCCACGCTAAAACCTGCTGCCTGCGATCACATCCATCGCCCGCTGCTTTCGTCTCCTCGCCAACAGATCTTTGTAGGAGCCAGACATCGGTGTCTGGAGAGTTATTGCCAAGCTGAGGTCAAATGCATCCGACGCTTTCTGGTCTATGGCGGAAGAGGCTTGAATCACGGTCATTCGATGAGCGGCAAAGCTGTGAGCAGCCAAAAGCAGGCACTGGACTGACTTCTGAGCAAGCTGGATTCAAAAGCAGTACAAGAGCTCAAAGAAGTAGCAGCGAACGATTTCTTCGCTGTTCCACAAGAGACGGTAAAGATCTGGAGCAGGCAGGGGTGGAGGATGCAAAGCTCCTTCCCTGCAGCAGCTGGTGAGATGGGTCAAGCTCCCAGCTGCAGGCATCTCAGGACTTGTCTCCACTTGGTTTTGATGCTGATTCATTCCTCTTGTGGACTTTCCTCACCTGGGACAGGAGTTCTTTGTTCCTTTTTTATCTTAATCCACTCTGAAAGCGGATTTTCAGACTGGGTTAGGAGAAACAGGAACGTGGCACTCCTCCGTCAGGAGTTAGTTGGGACCTGCTCCACGATGTGTAGGTTAAATCCTCATCAGCCAGAGGCTGAGATGAAATCATCCCTGATCACTCCTCAGCAGACTCACACAAACACACCCAACCAACAGGGATGAGGGACAACATTCTAATTAAAAATCCAACCAAAAAAAAAAATAAAATCAGCTTTCTCTATTTACCAGTGCAGGACAATGGGAAGGAGCCGGGCTTTCTACAAAGAAATGGTTTTTTTCCACCATCACCTCTTTTTCCACCATCATTTCTTGGGCCCTGTCAATCACTGCTCCTTTCCCTCCCCTCCCAAGCACGGCAATTTATTGACTTTTAATCCAGCAAGACCAGAAGTGGAATTTTTCTGGGTTCTTTGAAGATGAGCCCCGAACATTGGGATCTCTGCACTCAGAGCTTCAGGGAAGTCCACTACTGGGACAGGAAAGGCAAAGCAGTTATTAAAGGCTACATGAGAACTGCCCCAGCAATTCATATTGAAGGATCTGGGGTTGGCATAACTGCCACCCAGTGAAAATTGAGGACACCCCCAAAACTCTAAGAAACTATAAGAACTATAAGAAACTATAAGAGGATGATCCAGGGGCTTGCTCCTCGGCACTAAGGAGACCTTCGCATAGGTCTCCTAGTCATCTCTTCTTCGGGAAGAAAAAAAATCTTAATCTGCTAGTTCAGAGCTGCAATAAATCTTGAAAACATTTATTAGTAAGAGTTACAACAACCCAGAGACATTGTACACTCTCCCCTTCTCATCCAGTCTCCAGATAACACTTTGACACATGTATTTTAATTGCCATGGCAAGGAAACGTCTTTTCTGCCATCCACATCCTACAGAAATTGAACCAGTTTAGCTCAGTTCTGTAAGCGCAGCTCTCCTAATCCTGGCTTTGGCGAAACCCTGTGAATTCTTCACAGGAAAGCTTAAAGAAAATGTTTTCCTCTCCTGTTTCAGCATTTTAATACCGGATTAGGGGACCTGTCTAGACAGAAGAGAAAATAACAGGGTGTTTTGTGTGTCCGGAATCCTGATTAAGAAACCACCCTTAATTAGCCGACAACCTTTCCCATACGATCGGCAGGCGAAGGCAATTAAAGCCGAGCAAAAGTTTGGCTCTTTCCAACCAGGATACACGCTCCGCTGTGAAATGAGCAGACAATATGAATATACGAATCCTCACCACACTTTATTTCAGTATCAATTATACACTCTGTTAGGCTTATAAGTAAGACAAGCACATAAAATAAGAGCCTATTATGTGCAATGTTTTGCCTTCGCTACTTGCCAAGCCACCAGCCATGGCTTGAGCCAGTGAATATTACCAGCTCCTCGGAGAGACAAAAGTAGTTTGGCTTTTTACTTCTTTCTTGACAGCCAAAAAAAGGTTGTTTCTTGCTCTTTTTTTCTAAATCAGAGGGTAAAAAGTGTTAGCTGTTGTACGTGAATCTCTCTGAGGCTGTAATTTTACTTTATGTCTAAGAGCACGGGTAGCAGTAAATCATAGTCTGACTAAAAGTAAAATTCCCTCTGCTTTGTCTTGCTTATAGCTTTCCTGCGAGATAGCTAACAGGTGCCAGCTATCCACACTGAAATAATTTCTTTTTAAAAAAAATCCAAATATACCTATTCCTTCATAGAAAATAAAAATAAAAAGCTTTGATTGATATCTAAGTGTCTCACTCATAGTATCTGAATCATTTCTAGACCTGCTTCCTGTTGGAGCGTGTTCAGAGGAGGCCACAAGGATGATCCAGGGGCTGGAGCAGCTCTGCTACGAGGACAGGCTGCGGGAGCTGGGGGTGGTTAGTTTGGAAAAGAGAAGACTTGGGGGGACCTAATCGCTGCCTTCCAATACCTGAAGGGAACCTACAGGGAGGCTGGGGAGGGACTTTTTACAAGAGTGTTCACTGATAGGACAAGGGGAAATGGGTTTAAGTTGAAGGAGAATAGATTTAGATTGGACCTTAGGAAGAAATTCTTCAGTACGAGGGCGACAAGACTTTGGAATAAATTGCCCAGAGATGTTGTGGCTGCCTCCTCCCTGGAGGTGTTCAAGGCCAGGTTGGACAGAGCCTTGAGTAGCCTGATCTAGTTGAGAGGTGTCCCTGCCCATGACAGGGAGGTTGGACTAGATGATCTCTAAGGTCCCTTCCAGTCTAGGCCAGTCTAGGATTCTGGGATTCCTTTTCTCACTCCCTACAGCTGTCCTGCCCTTGCCTCCTCAGTTGCCACAACCCATCATGCCTCCCTTCTCATTACCTTCTATTTCCTACATTCTAAAAAATACCTTAAAAAACATCCCTGAAAACACTTCCTCCAAAAAAAACCCCCCCCCAAAAAAAAAATCAACCCACCCCAAATCCAACCTTGAGCTCAACTGCGGTTCCCCAAGCAGGCAAATCTTTGCAAAAAAATGTATTTTCAACGAAATGTATCGTTCTACCAACGCAGAATCACGGTTTTCCATTCCTGGCATTTGTACCCTTCAATCCCACGATCTCCTCAGCCCTTCACCTCTGCCGACCTCCCTCACACACCCAGCCCGCCACCCGCACCCAGGGAAAGGACCCTTCTCACCCGCCCAGAGGACTCTGTCAGCTCGCAGCAGGACTTCGCACCAGAGCTATCCTGGCAAGAACTCAGAAATCATTTTGAACAGATTCCTGCTTTGCATCCTTTTAATAAGGATATATTCTGGATATATCCCCTTCAACACAGGGCACCTTCTACT